ATGTATGTATGCATGTATGTATGTATGTATGTATGTATGTATGTATGTATGTATGTATGTATGTATGTATGTATATTTATATGCATGTGTGTGTGTCTGCCTCTAAGCACTGCAGCAGATCCCCCTGCGGGCGAGTACAGGGCTTAGGGGTAGTGCTTAGAGGGGAGAGCATTAAGATTGCTCAGGGGCTCCGAGGCAGCAACATAACGAGCAACAAGTACGAATGTGATGAAGATAAAGAACAACCCAAGACAGCAAAAGAAACAAAGTTTAGAGGGAAAGGCAGATGTAGCAGATGATGATGATGATGATGATGATGACTTTCTATCTGAGGCTGGGAGACATATGAAGCCTTACTTAGTCTTTCTAAAGCAATCTATAAGCAATCAGCAGCATAACAATTGTCTACAATGATTGCGCATGCAGCGAAAATGTTGTAGGGCTGCTCAAACATATGAACGCACCGCCTTGCAGCACTGATGTAGTGGTAAGGAGATGTGCTGCAGCTGAGGCTTACGGCGATAGAACTCTCTGTCTATTAGAAAGCCCCAGGCCTTTAAACGGCTGGGCCCTCAGCGTCTGGGATCGGGAGTAGAGGCTATCCGCTGCTTGTGGGGTGCTCGAACAACAAATCATTTACTGCACTTGCAACTTACTCTTCTTTGAGTAGCAGTTAAATAAAAAGATAAAAGAAAGAAGACAAAAAGCAAAGGCACTATACTGGGGCAGTACTGACACTGAGATACGAAGAAAAGAAGAAAAATATTCTATAGGGCGTTCATCAGTATATACACTTCATATATTCGGGAGAAGACCCCACAGCTTATAGGGGAGAGGCTTGCTGCTAAGGCAAATTAACGCGTCCAGGGTCTGTTGGGTCGCGTGAGCTGCAGCAGCAGCTGCAGCAGCAGCTGCAGCAGCAGATGCTGATGGGTGGTAGCTCGCCAATGGCGTTGCTGCTGCCGTTGCTTCAGGGGTTGTTGCTGAAGCGGCTGAAGCTGCATGTCGCTTCTGCTGCTGCAGCGGCAACTGCAGCAAAGCGGAGGCAGCTGCCAGACGTTCTGTGCATGCAGCAGGGGGAAACAGCTTCCTCTCCTCAATCTCTAGGGACAGAGCAACAACAGACAGATATATATATATATATATATGCCTGTTGACATGAAGGAGACACCTGTAATGTGGGGCCCTCATTGGGCCCGTAGGGGCCCCTTATGGTTGTGGGTTAGGCCTAAGGGGCCCTCCCTTCCTATGAATAGCTGAGATCTCCTTTAGGGTTTGGGGGGGCCCCGAGAGCCTCGAGGGGCCCCCCGGCGTCGATGAGCTGCGTCTATTACTGTTGTTAGCCTGCTGATATGAATGAGAATTTATTTATAATATTAAAATATGCAGTTTTATTTGCTTTTAATGGTATATTTACCCGCGCATTCGTCAGATGAGCTGCACATACACCTGAGTGACCTTCAGCAGGGAGAGCGCAAAGCACTCAGTGCAGCAGCAGCAGCAGCAGCAGCAGCAGCCCCGGCCTTCCTCCCCAAATAAATTGCACAAGACTATTAATTGTTATAACGATAAACAACAATATAATATATATTTCAGTGCATGCGCAGCCACACGAAGACCAGCAGACACCCGGGGGGCCCCCTTGTCGTTCATTGGGGGCCCCCCATTGTCTTAAAGCTGTCCTAGGTGTTAGCATAAGCATCTCCCCAAGGTGAAGGCCTGTTGTTGCTGCAGCTGCAGCAGCAGCAGCTGCTGCTGTTGCTGCTGCTGAGAAGCCAGGCCCCTGGCTGGTGACGGCTGCCGCCAGGGGAGGTAAGCTGCAGCAGAATCAGCAGCAGCAGCTGCTGTTGCTGCTGCTGCTGGTGCTGCTGCAGCTGCCGCATTCTGCCTCAAGACACCACACATTCAATGGGAGTGGAAGAGAAGAAACGACAGCAACAGTCGTTAAAGGGAGTCTGCAAGGGGGGCCCCCCGGGGGCCCCTTCTTTGCTGCGCAGCAGCAACGAAACTAGCAGCAGAAGCAGCAGCAGCAGCAGACGCAGCAGCAGCAGCAGCAGCAACAGAGCCAGAAGCAGATGGGATGGTGAAGGCTCTTGAAGGGCCCCCTGATATGGGGCCCCCCCCCCATTTACTGAACGAACCCCCGAAGAAAAAATGCAGAGTCGCGCTGCATGCACAAAGTGCTGCTTCTTCTTGCGTTGGGGCTGCCACTACTACACCTGGTGGCTGCTGCTGCAGCAGCAGCTGCAGCAGCAGCAGCTGCAGCAGCAGTAGCTGCTGCAGTTGCTGCGGCAGTTCCTTGAATCCAGCACCAGCACTCGCACCGGCATTACCCGCAGCAACAGCAGCAACAGCAGCAGCAGCAACAACACCAACAGCAGCAGCAGCAACAACAACACCAACAGCAGCAGCAGCAGCAGCAGCAGCAGCACTGCTGCCAGTTACTTGTGTCTCTTTGGAAGGCCTCTCCGATTCCATGCACAAAGATGTCTTGGTGTACGTACACCGAGTGCTGCTTGCTGCTGCTGCTGCAGCGCAGCAGCAGCTGGGCTTAAAAGGAGTTGAGGGGGGCCCCCTCTTATTTTCTCGTTGGAGACAGCTTCATGAGGGGCCCCCCCAAGACCAGGTAGCCCATAGCAGGAAGAGCTGCGCTGTTGCAGCCCCTGCTGCTGCTGCTGCTGTTACTGCAGCAGCAAAACTCCTGAGGGATATTCGTGCTGCGGTGTCTGCACAGTCGACTGCCGCTACTGCTGCTGAGCAGGGAGACATTCAAAGGAGCCCAAGCCCCGCTGCAGCTGCTGCATCAGCTGCTGCTGCTGCTGTTGATGGCGGCGACGCTGCTGCTGAAAGGAGACAACGGAACAGCTCTGTGCTGCTGCAGCAAATATGTGCTGCGCTGCTGCTGCTGGGAGCCGAACGCCTCTCAAAGCCGCAGCTGCCATACCACGTTACCCCAGCTCCTGTTGCTGCTGCTGCTGCTGCTGCTGCTGCTGTTGCTGCTGGTTTTCCCGTCATAGGGGTGGAGGAGCTGCTGCAGCAAGCAGGAAGGACGGGGCTACCTTGGCTACGCGACAGCAGCAGCAGCAGCAGCAGCAGGGCCGTGCTGGTGGGCTGTCTGCTGCTGGTCCCCAACGAAGGCGGCGGTTTGTTGCTGTTTGCTGATGCTGCTGCCCTCACTGGCTATTCTACAGCAACCCAGCAGCAGCAGCAGCAGCAGCGGCAGCGGAGACAGCGTGTCCCTGTTGCAGTTGCATGCACTGTGTGGGGTTCCTTCAGCAGCAGCGCTTTCTTGTCTCTCCAATTGGTTAGAGAGAGGGGCCCCCAAGCCTCTGTGGGGCCCGGGGCCCCCAGCAGCAGCAGCAGCAGGGGCCCCAGCGGCAGTACTATTTGTGGGCGTTTAATCTCAGCAGGGGCCCCTGGGGGCCCCTGTCTCCTCGCCTTTAGGCAGTGGAGATTATTGCCAGCAGCAGATTGCTGCAGCAAGACCAGGGGGGCCCCCAAGAAGCCCAGGTCCAGCAGGGGCCCCCAAAAGCTGTTGCTGCAGCAGGGAGCTGCTGCAGCAGCTGCCACACCAACCGGTTTAAGAGCAGAAGGTGAAATGCCTCCTGCTGCTGTCGGCCCAGGCAGGGGACCCCTAGGGGCTCAGCAGCAGCTGTTGGGGCACCCAGAGGCTGTGGGGCCCCCAATGGTGGAGGGGCCCCCTGGGTTTGAACGCTGGGGGGACAGACAAGGAGAGACAGAAAGAGATAGAGACAAAAAGGAGACAGTGAGATTGCACGTCGCTCCCGGGTGTCTGGGCTTGGTTGCTGCTTCCGCTGTCCTACTGCCGCTGCAGCAGCAACAACTTGCTGCTGCCCCACCGCTGCAGCAAACCCCTGAGGCACCTGCAGCAGCAGCAACAACAACAGCAACACCAATTCCACTCGCGAGCTGCGAACCAATAACATCTGCTGCTTCTGCTGCTGATGCTGCTGATACAGCCCATGGGAGTCCAGCAGCAGCACGAACATCGCGAGCAACACAACAAGCAGCAGCGGCAGCACCGTTAGCTTCTGCAGCAGCAGCAGCAACGGCAGCAGCTTGCCGCGCGGAGGCCTCAAGCCCCCAACTGCAGCACGCGCCCATAATGAGGGGCCCCTCAGTGGGGCCCCACAGCATCACTGAAGTGGAGGCCCCTCACCTGGGTGGGGCCCCACAAGGGGGGCCCCCAGCAACAGAAGAGCAAAGGGGGGCCCCCTATTGGGTTTCCTTGCAGCCATCTGCTCGCTGTTTGACTCCAACTGATGGAGAGGAAGCAGCAACACAGCCACTAGCAGCACCGGTAGCAGATGCAGCAGAAGCAGCAGCCTCGGGAGAAGCAGCAGCAGCAGCAGCAGCAGCAGTGGAAGCAGCAACAAGTGCGCATCCAAACACGTACAGCGCTGCACAGCAGCAACAGCAGCAGCAGAATTTTGTCTGCGCTGCAGCAGGCTGTAGGGGCCCCGAAGGTGCTGAGGGGCCCCCTGTATTTGCTGGCAGGAGACGGTTTGCGGTGTACGGCCTCGTGGTGTCTGTCTCCCCCATTTTATGTTCGTCAAAGGGGACAGGTGCTGCTGAAGCTCTCTGTGTGGCTCGCCTCGCGGGGCCCCTCTTTCAGGGCCCCCTAGAGCAGCAGCAGCAGCAGCAGCAGCAACAGCAGCAGCAGCAGCAGCAGCAGCAGCTAGACTCGGAGTGGGCGCCCATCCCTCAGGTATTCCGGCGGATGCGCTGCAGTCCTTCAT